TCGCGTTTTTTGCATCATATTCACTGACTAGTAATTGTGTATCTGTCTTCATTATCCGATTCTTCATGTTGTTGGGCAGTTTTTCAACTTCATATTTATTTATCTCCAATGTTGAATCTACAATTCGCGTGGAAATTTCCTGCGTTTCTATGGCTTAGATGGATCGCTGATTTCAGAGAGGCAATTGGATATCACTGAAAGCAAAAGTAGCAGAGTGGAAGGGTGATGACGGATTCGAAGGAAGTTTATTCGTTCACGGCATTTAACGATGACTATGCATTCAGTGATGATGGATACTTTACGTATTCAAGTACTGAGCAGGTTAGCATTTACGTCGAATTTCATTTGAAATTTTAATAGTTTATGGAAATGAACACGTTCAGCTCATTTTAAGCTCATTTGCAATCGTGTTCCGCTGGATATTCAAGAACTTTCATTCATCAGTTATCTTGTGGTCAACGATTATTATCAAACATTATCAACGTTTCAATAAAGTGATCATGTCATTATGCTTTGAAAGATAAAATGGATTAGAATGATAGAAATACAAGGAATTCCATTGCAGAAACGTGTGGAAGATTCGGTAAGCGAAAGATATAAGGAGTTTCTGGGTGAGTGTATGGAGGATATTGAAGAAACAAAGCATTTCACACCGGTACTACATCGTTCTGTGCACATACATTATATTTGTCGAACGCTTGTGGAACTCGGAAGGTCTTTCCAGGTGAGTGGCGTTTTTCCAATGTCTCATCTGCATTTCCAGCTGATGAAAATACTCTATCTTATCATAGCTCAGTTCATTTCTGGTTAATTTCCATTTGTTTTTGATCAGTTGATTTCACCAAGGTTTTCAAAAATTTTCGTTGTCAATCAGTTGCGAAGGGGATGCATGAAAGCCATGATACGATGAATTTGTTTTGATTGAAGTGATCATCTTGCTAGGAATCCCTGCGTATTCGTGACATATACAATTAGAGATAACATTAGAGGTTTCGTGAATCTA